GGGACGGGTCCTTGGAGAGGGACATCATGCTTGGAAGGGTGGAGGGACAGCGCAGGAGGGGAAGACCCTCTATGAGATGGACTGATTCCGTGACTGGGGTAATCGGGATGGGTGTGTCAGAGGCAGTGCGGTTGGCGCAGTATAGAGCAGGGTTTAGGGCTGTTGTGCATAGGGTCTCTATGAGTCGAAAAGGACTCGACGGCACATAACAACAACAACAACAACAATAATCATTTCCTTCATTTTAATTAGAACATAAAAGCCTTTGCATATTCAATGAAGCACAGATAGACATTCTTCTGGTATTCTCTGCTTTCTGCCACGATCCATCTAACATTAGCTATAATATCCCTAGGACCACAACCTTTTCTAAATCCAGCCAGCACATCTGGCAGTTCTCTGTTGACGTATTGCTCCAGTCATTTTTGGATTATTTTCAGAAGAATCTTGCTTACATGTGATATTAATTATATTGATCGATAATTTCCGCACTCTGATGGGTCACCTTTCTTTGGAATGGGGAGAAATATCGATCTTTTCCAGTCAGTTGGCCACCTAGCTGTCCTCCATATTTCTTGGCACAACTTAGTACATCCAGGCAGTGTCTGTTTGTTGAAATATATCAATTGGTATGCTGTCAACTCCTGGAGCCTTGTTTTTTGCCAGTCCTTCAGAGTAACTTGAACTTCCTCCTTCATCACCACAGGCTCTTGCTCATTTGTTATTTCATTAAATTCTTATGTGTCAGCCAATTCCTTCTGATACTGTGACTCTGTGTACTCCTTCCATCTTCTTTTGATACTTCCTGGATCATTTAACATTCTACCCAAAGTATCCTTAAGTATTGCCACCTGTGGCTTGAATTTGTTTTTCAACTCCTTCAGCTTAAGAAATGCTGAGCGGGTTCAGCTCTTTTGATTTTCTGACTCCAGCTTTCTGTACATTTCATTATAGTATCCCTTGCTTTGTCATCCTGAGCTGCCTTTTGAAATTTTCTGTTCAGCTCTTTGGTTTCTTCCTTTAGCTTTGACTTCTTGGTGCTCTAATGCAATATTCAGAGTCTCATCTGACATCCATCTTGGTCTTTTCTTCTTCTTCAGCCTTTGTAATTTTCTTTTGCATCCTTCATGGATGATTTTCTTGATATCCTACCAGAGCTCATTTGGTCTATGCTCATTGGTACTCAAGGTCTCAAAAACCTGTTCCTAAGATGGTTTTGAAATTCTAGTGGGACAGACTTAGGGTCAAATTTTGGTTCCCGTGGACTTGATTTAATTTTCCTCAACTTCAACTTGAACTTGCATATGAGAAGTTGGTGGTCTGTCCCACAATCAGCACCCGGCCTGGTTTTCACAGCTGGTATTGAGCTTCTCCAGCTAGTCTTTCCACAAATGCAATTGATTTGATTCCTATGTATACCATCAGGTGAAATCCATGTGTATAGCTTGTATTTATGTTTCTTTAAAAGGTATTTGCAAACAATTTGCTTTGAATGTACAGAATTCTATCATTCTATCTCCAGCCTCATTTCTCTCACCGAGCATGGTTCAAAATCAAGAAAGGGGTTCATCAGGGATGTATTTTGTCTCCATACCTTCTCAATCTGCATTCAAAACAGATCATTCGAGATGTTGGTCTGTACGAGGAGGAAGGTGACATCAGGATTGATGTAAGAGTCATCAATAACCTGCGTTATGCAGATGGCACAACCCTGCTGTCTGAAACTTAGGAAGACATGAAGCACTTGCTGCAGAAGGTCAAGAACTGCAGCCTTCTATATGGATTGAAACTCAACATCAAGAAAACAAATATTCTCACAACTGGGCCAATTGGCAGCATCAGTATGGATGGTGAAGAGATTGAGATAGTTAACAGTTTTAGTTTACTTGGTTCCACAGTCAACACTCTTGGTAACAGCAGCTAGGAAATCAAGAGACAAATTACATTGGGAAAGTCAGCTGTGAGGGACCTCTCAAGAGTGCTGAGGAGCAACGATGTCAGGCTGGAGAATAAGGTGTGCCTAATCCAGGCTATAGTCTTTGTAATTACATGCTATGAATTGGAGAATTGGACAGCGATTAGGGATAATCGAAAGAGAATTGATGCCTTGGGGCTGTGATGCTGGAGAGGAGTGCTGAATATACCATGGATTGCTAGGAGAACAAACAGGTTTGTCCTAGAGAACTTGAAGCCAAAATGTTCCTTGGAGTCAAGGATTCTGACATATTTTGGGCATGTTGTAAGGAGGAACTAGAGGGACATCATATTTGGGAAAGTGGAGAGATGGCACAGGAGAGGAAGACCCTCAATGAGATGCATCAATTCTGTGATTGGGGTGGTGGGAATGAGTGTGTCAGAGACGGCAAGGTTGACACAGAATAGAACGGCATTTAGGGCTCTTGTACACAGGGTCACTATGAGTCACAAGCGACTCACTAGCACATAACAACAACAATTTTAATTGTGATTTTAACAGAAGTTTACGTAAAAGCTGCATTTTTATTCAGTCATTGTTGCACAATTTCCTCCCTCCTTCCTCCTCCTTCATTTCTCCCCCTCCCCCAGTCTTTTTGCAATGTACCTCTTATTCTGAGCTGTTGTCTTACATATAATGACTAATCATATATTTCTTTTAAACAGTTTTTACTTCATCTGTTCCAAAACAGTGCTCATTATCTAACCACTCTTTTCCTTTTCTCCCAACCCCCTGTCTCAGTCCTGCTTTATAACAATGGTGCTATGCAGTATGTTTTTAGATTTATAATAAAAACAAAAAACATTGCAGTGGAGTCATAAAAGCCTCATAGCTGACCCTCCAGCTGATTTTCAGAGGCTGTAAAGAGCATCAGAGGAGATTTTCCATCTTTCTCTGATGGAGAAGCTGGTGGGTAATAACCACTCACATTGGTGTGGGCAGCAGAACCCCCTACCAACTACATTGCATTTTGTAGAAAGTACAGAGATTCTATTTAGCCCTTCCAGCCCTGCACACTCTTTGGCAGTGTTCTAAGTGAAGCAGAGAGGCCAAGGACAGTCTCAGGAAGGAGTGCTGGCTCTGGATATCTTGTTCAGGGAGCCATAGGGGAGAGGGGTATTAAGGGGCAAAACCCGGAATTGAGGGTGGATGTAGGATGCTGGCACTCACCCACTAGGATGTTGAGCCTGAGTCCTCTGTGCGTGTTATACAACCACACCCTCCCCCTCCCAAGAGTCCCAGTAGGGATCTCAGGGACATGACAACTCCCTTACCTGCCTTCTGGACATCTCTTTTCCAGGTCAGAGTGCAGTTACAGCTCAAATCCCCTGTGAAGACCATCGAGGACTTCCTCCGCAAATTTACACCCAGCCGCCTAGCCTTGGGCTCCAGCGGTGTTGGGAATCTGGCCACCAACAGATCAACCCACAAGTCAGGTTCTAGCTTCTTATCCTTCCTGTCAAATGACAGTTCCCTGATCCAGCTGGAGGAGGAGCTGGACCCACCTACACCTACTGTCACCGAATGTGACTTGCATGGTGAGGTAGCTGAAGGTTATGTGCTCAGTAGCCAGAAGGAGATAGAGCTGCGATATGAGGCGGAGAGCCCAGATGAAGCGGCGCTAGTGTATGCAGCGCGTGCCTACAATTGTGTCCTTGTGGACCGCCTGCAAGATCGCGTGTCAGTAGAGCTGCCGCACCTAGGCAGGCTTACCTTCGAGCTGTTACACACGTTGGGCTTCGACTCCATCCGCAAGAGGATGTCAGTAGTCATCCGAAACCCTCTAACCGATGAGATCACTGTTTATACCAAAGGTGCTGACTCTGCAGTCATGGACCATCTACTGCCCTGCATCTCAGGTACCTCTCTGTGAGGCTACACCCTTCCGGGAGCCCCACTGGTTCTTTCCTAGTGGGGAAGGGCAGTCAGAATCAACTGGAAAGGAGTTTGGTTTGGGTTTGTCACACATACAGAGGCCTTCCAAAGGAAGGCCTCTCCATCTACGGCAAAAAAAAAAAAACCCTAACACGTGAGGTGCATGTCAGAGGAAAGTTGGTTCATAAATCGTTTTATAAATCGGAATCTGGTGGGGATGCCTGACTTATCTGCATCACAATATCCTCTTTCGAAGGGTTGGAACCAGGAAACATTGGAGAACCACTCCACTGTTGAGAGCCCAACCCAGAACATGTCAAATAGGGGTTAAATATAAGCAATGAAGGTTAAGAAATCCCACCAGAATTTCCTTTCTGCCCTGTGATTTCCTGAACCTCAAAGCTTCCAGGCTCATGCTCTGATATTCAGCTTATTTGTAACACTATTTCCAGCCAAAGTGGCAATCTGGGAGTATCTGAACTTGAACTGGAGGCTTGGCTTCAGGCAGAGAAGCTCCAGGTGAGTTTCATCTACACACTAGAGTATCATGTAACTTGGGATTGAAATTTGGTAGTTTAAAACCACTGAAGAGTCAACATCTCCTTCTAGCTACAAATACTTGAGACACAAGGGCTAATCTCTGTGTGTCTGCACTCGTAAAGTGGGACTGGTACCTCTCTCACTCTTTACTGGGCAGACAGGAGGACTGAATACACATCCCACCTCTAGAAAGAGAAGTGTGGATGGTGGTGGGCAATGCTAACAGACATTTGATGGCCCTTTGAATTGCAGCTACCTGCCACTCTAGTGTGGTCAATAAGTAGCCACCCAATTTTCTATATTATGGGATCAGCTCAACCCAGTGTGGAAATTCAGGCAATGTATAGGCTTTACCTAAGTTCTAAAATAGCCTATAATCTCAGCACATCATTTCTAGCACATAAAGTTAAGACTATTCAGCTTTAGGAAAGCCCTTGGAGGATAGTTGCAAAGGCAGTTAAGGTAAGTTGGCAAATTTTTCTCTGAAAATAGTCTAAGAAGACTCCTCTGTCACTGACTTCATGGAGGGCAGAATTTCCCTTTGCAACTCGGCTGCAGTTGCTCCTCGAGTGAAGTTTTAAAACCAATTATGCATTTCAAGGTGTTTTATCCTAAAATTCTATTTTGTTTTCATTTGTACAAAAGAAAAGCATTATGGCCATTATTTCATGGTGGTCATGCTACTGCAAACAATTCCAGTTGTCCTAACCAACCACAAAAAGCAAACTAGAACTGCTGCAGTTGTCCTATGACTGACTCACAGGGTTGCTCTGAGTGTCAGGGCAGAACTATGTTACTTTGTGTTTAAAATGACCGATTTTTCAGAAATACATCAACAAGACTTTGTTACGAAGCTCCTTAAGGTGAATGTGAACTGCCTACTTTTCAGTTAGCAAATGCTCTAACTTCTGTACACCTAAAGACTCAGCCTGAGTTTCAGTCCTCAGTCATACATTAAAGGCAATAAGATGGACCCCTGACTTTCTTGCTTTACCCTTTCGCACAGCAAACTATACAGTAAAAGGCAAAACCAATGAAAGGGCATCTACTCACACACTCTGGAAAGGACACAGGAACCACCAAGTGCACTACGGCAATGGGCAACACTTACTTTTCTGAGAAACGCATTGATTTTGCTTGTCTTTTGAGTGAAACTTTACAGAACAACTGGTTTTCCATTCAATCATTCCTAGACATTTTTTTAAACGTCATTAAAACACATTGAAATATTATTCTTTCAACTTTCCTGGCATTGTTTTCTTTCATCCTTCTATCTTTTCTCTTCTTGCCTTGTGAGCATTCTCCCTAGGCAAATTCGATGTTATTGTTTACTTTACCATGTCTACCATTTGGTTGAACGTTGAACTATTGCCATGAGTTTAGTTCCAGATGCAAAAGTTTTCTTGGACCCGATTCTTGAGGGTGCTACCAGTCTCTATTTTACAAACAAACACTTTTTTGTGACTTTGAATTTTGTTCCCCATGGTTCTCCTGGTCTATCCAGGACCATTTACTATAATCTCTCATAACTATCAGCAGTGATTGTCAGATGCCTTCCCTTTCTTCTAGTCTCAGAGTAGGGGAGGGTGAAGTTCATTTGGTCCTTTGGAATAATTGTTTCATTGTTTCTTTTCTTTTTTCCCTTTTCTACTAATTTATTTACAAAATTGGAATACATTGTTTTCAATAACAAATTCCTTCCATTTCCCTCAACCCCCCCCATCAACTTGTACAACCCGATGATCAATCCCCCCTCCTCCTGCACAGCCTTGTTCCTCTGCTTCCAACCCCTCCAATCCTTCTTAGATCCTTATATTCATTATACAATAATGGTTTTATACAATATTTCTCTTTGTGGGACAGAGTTAGTTCACTCAGCATAATGCTCTCCAGTACCTCCCAACTTAGGTAATAATTTACAAAATCATTGCTCCTGCATTCTGCATAGTATTCCACTGTGTGAAAGTACCATAATTTCTCAATCCATTCATTTGTGGTTGGACATTTGAGCTGTTTCCATGTTCTTGCTATGGTGAATAATGCTGCTACAAACATATGTGTACAAGTTTCAGTTTGTATCTCACATTCTCATTTTCTCAGGGTATATTCTAGGTAGTGGAATAGCTTGGTCATATGGAATTTCTATGTTCAGCTTTATGAGGAAGTGTCAAACTGCCTTCCAAAATGATTGTATCGTTTTACAATCCCACTAACAATGTATAAGAGTTCCTTTCTTGCCACATCCTCTCCAACATCTATTACTTGCTGCCCTTTTAAACTTTGCCACTGTTACTGGAGGGAGATAGTACCTCATTGTGGTTTTGATTTGCATCTCTCTTATTGCCAGTGACTTGGAAAATTTCTTCATGTGTCTGTTTGCATTCGAATATTTTCCTCTGTGAAAATTCTTTCCTTGTCTTTTTCCCATACTGTAATTGAGTTATCAGTGTTTTTCTTGGGAAGGCACAGGAGTATTCTGTAAACAATTGTTATAAGACTCTTGTACAACGACAGACACCTAGACCAACGGAACAGAATTAAGAACTCAGAAATAGACCCAGCTATCAATGGCCAACTGATATTCGACAAGGAAATTAAAGCTATCAAATGAGGAAATGATAACCTCTTCAACAAATGGTGCTGGCAAAACTGGGCTTCCACCTGCAAAAATCTGAAACAGGATCCACATCTCACACCATACACAGAAATCAACTCAAGGTGGATCAGAGACCTGGGAGTAAAGCCCAAAGCCATTATGTTCATAAGAGACAAATTGGAATCAAGCTTAGAATCGCTAATCCAAGATATAAAGAGACTACCAAATACAACCAGAAATGCACAATCTAATGACGATAAAATTGATGCATGGGACCTTCGAAATATTAAATCGATGTGAGCATCAAAAACTTTTTCCAACAGAGAGAAAGGAAAACCTACAGACTGGGAACAAACATTTGATAATATCATTGTTTCTTTTGTTATTTTTGCTCTTACTTGTTCCTGAAAGGGGAAGAACACTAAATGACTGTTCATGAACTTTTAAAACTCCAGTATCTACTCACCAAAGTAGAACATAAACTTTGGAGATTATGTTAGGTTAATTGGATTTGATATCCCCCAAAAGTAAGATCTGGAGGCTTTAGGATTAGCAACTCATTGCCTGTGATCATTCAGTTATGATTAAGTTTACATTACTTTGCCTATTGGTTTTACCGTATATGAGGTATATCTTATACAAATATACATATTTCAGAACCATCTGGAAAACTTATGCATGATGATGAGTTTAATCACTTTCATGTGTCCATATATCTTTTTCTGTCTACTTTTGTATGTTGCTGTCGTTATGTGCCATCGAGTTGCTTGCAACTCATAGCAACTCTATGTACAGCAGTTCTGAACCATGCTCTATCATGAGCCAACTTTATGGCCTCTGACACACCTACCCCCCCAACCCTAGTCACTGAGTCAGTCCATCTCTCTGAGGGTCTTCCTCTCTTGCATTGTTCCTCTAACTTCCCAAGCTTGAGGTCCCTCTCCAAGGACTGGTCACTTCTTTCAACATACCCAAAGTATGTCAGATGAAGCTTCAGAATCCTTGCTTCCAAGGAGCAGCCTGGTTTCATTCTCTCCAGGAAGAACTTGTTTCTTCTCCTAGTTGTTGTTGTTGATGCTGTTGATTGCCCTCGAGTCAAGCATGACTTATGGCAACCCTATGAACCCTTTCTATAACTATCATTCTCCTAATAGTCCATGGTATGTTCAGTATTCTTCTCCATAATATCAATTCCCTGTCACCCCTCGTTATAGTCCAGCTTTCTGATGCATTGCAAGTAATTGTGAAGATTATGGCCTGAATCAGGCTAACCTTAGTCCCAAGACTGACATCATTGTTCTTTAGTACTCTGGAGAGGTCCCTGACAGCAGACTTTCCCAATGCAATTCATCTTTTATTTCCTGTCTGCTGGTACCAAGAGTGTTGATTGTGGAGCCAAGCAAACTAAAGCTGTTAACAATCTCAATCTCTTTACAGTCCATCATGACGCTCCATATGACCCAGTGGTGAGTCATTGTTTTCTTGATGTTGAGTTTTGATACATATTTAAGGCTTCAGTCCATGACCTTCTGCAGCAAATGTCTTGAGTCCTTCTCAGTTTTGGCAAGCGAGGTTATGTCATCTGCATAACGTAGATTGTTGATAAGTCCTCCTCCAATCTTGATGCCACATTTATCCTCATAGAGCACAGCCTCCTGGATAATCTCTTCCAAAAACAGATTGAAAAGGTATGGAGATAGGACACATTCCTATCCCTATCACCCTTGCCGATTTTCAATCATGCAATGTTTCCTTGCTCTGTTCTGATGACTGCCTCCTGGTCCAAGTATAGATAGGTTTTGCATAAGCACAATTAAGTGTTATGGGATTCCCATTCTACTATTACCC